GTCAGAAGTGAATAGGAATGACACAAACTATTTCGACGCGCAAATCAAAACTGTACAGAAATCAAGCAGCGTTACCGGCGTGTGCGGCCGAACAGGAATTCAGGATACATTTGGATCCAATACGAGAATGTTCGCCCCCCCCCCTCCCCCCCCACACACACACGTTTCAAAACCCATGAGACAGTTAACAAGCTTGTTCGGACGATACTCCTCCACCCCCTCCCCCCCCCCCCCCCCTCCTCTTAGTCCTGATTAGGATTTTCAGTGTTTTGTTCCGCTGAAAGACGTACTGCGTTCAACAAGGTTTCAAAAATGACGAGAAGATGCTTTGCGAAGTAAGGACATAGATACGTTAACAGGAAACGAGGCAGTAGAAAAAACGGCATTCATGCATTCGTTTCGAACTGATGTCAAATAAAAGAATAAGTAGGTGGATAAGTAATAAAAGTCAGAGGTGTATACAACAAACATACTGCACTACTCTGTGTGAACTTCGTGCATTTTAAATAAACGCAGCTTCCGAAAGAAGAAGAATGTGGGACATCTTAGCCACGTTTATATATTAGAACTGTCGTCCGCTTATATATTCTCGGTCCGCCTCACCCGCATTCTTTGTCGGTCCTTCCGATTGTGGATCTCCTCTGTAGCTGCCCCACTAAATGAGTTTCGTCGACTTAAATCTTTCAACTAAACAAATAAAAAAGAAAGAAAAAAAAAAAAAACTCGGAGGAAAAACAAACGCAGCTAAGCGACCGGCTTTGAATATTTTGTGAAGGTATACCGGGGCGGGACGAACGAAGAGGGAGGAAAATCCAATTATCGCGGCATGGCCGAGCGACTGAGTTGAGAGTTGGGCAAGCAGAAGAACCGGGCGATCAATGAGTTCGCTAACAAGGACAGTGCCGGGTTCAGCGCATGTCTTCGCGCGCATGCGCCGGTGGAGCGCATCTGCTGCGTGTGATCATGCTCAGAAAAAAGCCGCTTTGAGGGAGAGCGCACTATAATGAAGTCCTTCGGGTTGCTTTGGAAGCAGGCCGCCTCCCTCGTTCATTTTTTTTTCTTCTCGTAGAAGACAATGAATGTCTGGAGGGTATCTCAACGGGAGGATAGAAATCCAGACCAATAACCTATGAGAGGTTATATACTCCGCTATGCGATGTGACAATGTACATACACGACACTTATTGCAAACCAGTTGTGACCTCGAGCGAAATTTTCGTAAATCGTACGAGGAGTGATCAGAAAGTGTTGCAACTCAGTTAGAAACAAAAGTCTGACAATGATCACTTTACACCCTTTGGCTAGCTCATGTCTCTAGCCAAACATATGTTCGATATCAAGCCTTCCGCTTTCTCCCCTCGTCGGCATCAGTCAGTTAAACATGGCGTTCTCCCACTGTTTGAAACTTCAGTACCGGAGCAAGATAAAGTTTTTATGCAAAGAAGGAAGCTATGCCAAAGAAATTTACGATATAATGATGAATGTGTATGGCAGTGAATTCCATTTATATTCAGAACTAACTCGTTGGTTCGACGAGTTTAAACGCGGCCGAGTGGATGTGCAAAACGACCAATGGTCAGGGCGGCCCAGCACTTCGATCGATTTGAATCGTTCAGCCCGAGTCCAGAACCTTATCATCCGAAGTCGACAGTCTAAGGTGTCCGAAGTTGCCACAGAATTGAATAGGTTGTATGGCAGTGCTTTGGCAATCAGCCATGACATTTTGACTATGTCAAAAGTCTCGGCACGATGGGTGCCAAGAAAACTCTCTCGTCCGCCGTTTGGTTGGGGATTAAGACGTGGCTTCACCAGTGGGACCTATAAAAAAAAAGTCTATGCAGTAAAGAAATTTGAGGCTCCCCCCCCCCCCCCCCCCCCCTTCGTCCCCCTAAAAAGAAAAGAACAAAAGAAAACATTCAAGACGCAACGTTTGGGGAGTAAAGTCATGGCGACAGTTATTTAGGACACAAAGAGAATGGATCCTGTTGATTGATTAGCTAAAAACAGCAGGACAATTGTAAAACAGGCGAATATTTTACCGACGTTCTCCGCAAACTGTGCAAGGCCATTGTATAAAAACGACGAAGATCGGTGACAAGAGGCGACCTCCTCCAGCACTACAACGCTCGCGTTCACGAGTCTCGTGTTGCCCAGGCTGTCATTCGAGTGTCTACTTTCGAAGAGCTACAATCCCGATCCTGTCCCTATTGACATTCTTTTAATTCCTTAATCTAAAAAACAAAACACCTCAAGGGAACAAGGTTCGATGACTTGAATGCACTAAAAACTACCGCAAAGCGGTGGCTTGACGAACAGGGCATAGTTTTTTTTTTCCTTTTTCTTGCGAGGAATTAGTAGCAGTTAACGCAAATGGCAGAAGTGCATTAGTTTACCGGGGGGATTACGTAGAAAAAGAAAACTTTGTTCAAGGCCCTGGTATAGTTTTCTTCATAAGCGAGTTGCAAAACATTCTGATCACCCCTCGTACTTGGACATGATGACTAGAATACTGCGTCTTCGTATTAAACACTCGGTGTACAGCTGCTCACATACTTGTTAAAAATTGCATTTTTCCGAAAATATGGAAGTTGATAATTCATTAAATTCAAGTTTTGTTTACAGGATTATCATCGACTTGTTCGACCTCTTTTAATGTCTATAATTATTGTTCCCTGTTTGCGGCGCGACAAAAATACAAGTCGTTACAGATACGCCTCGCTAATTGGAACACTTTCATTCCTCATCAAAAATTGTCCGTAAGTCCTTCATATTAACAAATCAGGGTCAAGATCACATATAGTCATCTCTTGTTTCTACGGTACCCGCTATAAACACTGACTTTCGGGACCGATCCGTTCCTGTACAATTCTGCCTTGTTAATTTCCCGCAGTCCATATAAATGATTCTTGACTGCCGCTTCCCCTATTAAAGAGGCATAATTGTATAAAAAAACTGGTTGGTATCCGAATTTTTGTATCTTTTATATATCGGGGTAAGCGCCCCAAATATTATGGCATTAATTTAAACAACCGATCTATTCGCTACAGAGCATGTTCGTTTTCACGGGCCTGGTGCGCACAATACACAAGAAAGTCCAATAAATCTAAACACATAGCACCTGGTTTGAGGAAGTTTTGGAATTTTCTTGCGTTATTTGTGAAAATATTTGTCTACCTGTTTTGGAGTTGTGCAAGAGGCACGAAAACCCCGTGTGCGTTGTGATATCCATTTGTCACGCCTGTTGAGTTAACTGCTGAAAGACGTGCAGTATGAGCGTGAAAAAATCTTTAGCAGTATTTCAATCGTGTATGCACTATCTGTGGCACAGTACTCCGAGACAGAGTGTCTCACAGTACTATGGACCATAGATAAAGGTACAAGAGGAAACTCATTGCCTTTGACAGTAGAAAGACTTAGAATAGGGGTCCCCTACGCTTTGGATAACCCAAGCAGCTGTGGGCGTCTCAGTGCGCATGCGTGGAAGGTCTGCGCTTGCGCGGTGTGTGACTCCACAAGCTGCTTGTGTGACTCCAAACATAAGGCCCCCCCCCCCCCCCCCCCCCCCATTCTAAAGCTCTCTATCCGGAGGACAAGTTCGTCTGCTTCTTTGCAGGGGTTGCGATGATGTCAGAACACCAAGCTCTTATTGGTTAATTGAAAAAAAATAGTGGGTAGATCTCAAAGCGTCTAGCATTGAAGTCTACCCTCTGTCCTTTCAATCAAAGCCAATCAGAGCTCCGCCTCGTTCGGACGTCGCCGAAGTTACTGCGCTAGAAGCAGACGACTTTCTCTCCGCATCATCTTGACTGCAGGAACACTTGAGCGCATGGAGCATTCGCTCCCTGCGCGGGCATGTGGATAAAGATATATGAAAGGAGGCAATTCTATGTGTGATATCGTTGGGTGAAATCAGCTTCGAAAGCTAAGAGTTTCAAGATATATAGATTGTTATTTTACAAAAACCAAAAAATGTAAGCGGCTTTTTTCTTTTTTTTTTCTCCGACTTTTTTGTTAGTAATACCAACCCTCGTTTAAAGAGCCCTAAAATCCCCTAAAAATATATATATTTTTTTTAATAATCTGGTTGGGACAGGCGCGTCAAAAAATTAATATTACCTGAAAAAAATTTTTTTAGAGCAATATTGACGGCGCGAGACACGGTTTAGTCGGCAGTCACCTCCTCTCCACTTTTTTTTTCTCTCGGCATTTCGGGGCGCGTGGAAGAGAGGTGGATCGGCTTGGCCTTCACGACCGAAATGGTCATTCCGGAATGACCCGTGACGTCATGGACTTCGCGCGCAGATTTTCAAATAAATCTCTCGCCGTCAATGTTGCTCTAAAAATGATTTCTTTCGCGTAAAAATTATTTCTCAAAAAGCGTGTCCCATCCAGACTGTTAAAGGAATTTTGTTTTTCCTTTTTTAAGAGAGTTCTTATTATGACATCCATATCACTAGTGTGGATGCATGGTTTTAGCCCATTGTATAATATCTGGAATTTTAGTTTTCCATCAACATTACGTCCAGTCCTGTTTGGGCTAAAATATTGGCCTGCAGTATCCTGTAAATAAGAATAAGTCGGCGCACAAGAAATTTACACTTCAACGCTTCGTTCTTTACAAAAAGAAATGAGTGATAAAAGAAAAAAAAGGTTCGTTTCCACATTTCTATGGATTGCAGGTGTCGTCATCACACGATGCAGGTGGCTTAGGTGACGTCATCACACGATGCTGGTGGTTTAGGTGACGTCATCACACGATGCTGGCGGTTTGGTCATTCGTACTTGTTTTTGCGAAGAAAACCTAATCCGGGGGTGTAAAACATATTCAGCAGAAGGTGCGCTCACAGCAGCGAGGCCATTCCTATGGCCGCTCATGTGACACCAGAGGCAAGCATGTATTGAGTGCGGCATTCGAGCTCGATAATAAGTGATCTGTCGTCGGATCAAGACCGCTTAGGCCAGCTAATAAAATATAAAATGCAATATATCTGGCTGCAGGTGCTGGAGGACTTCATCAACTCGACGTTCACGGAGCGCTTCGGCGAGCCGGCGTCCGAGGCCACCGTGACGCTGGTGTTCAGCGTGTTCGTGGCCGTGTTCTGTGTGGGCGGCATGATGGGCGGCCTGCTCACCGCCTGCGTGGCCGACCGCTTCGGGCGCCGGGGAGGCCTGCTTCTCAACAGCGGGCTCGTGTTCGCCGCCGCGCTTCTCATGACCCTCTCCAAGGGAGCCGCCTCCTACGAGCTCCTCGTTCTCGGAAGGCTCATCGCGGGCATCAACGCCGGTATGAGCGCGGCGCACGCCAATACCACCTCTACTCGGTGTCACACCAAAGGACGTTTCACTCATTATTCATGTGATGCGCGAAGTAGTTCTTGCAAGATTTGGTTGTTGAAGAAAAAGGCGATGGGTTTTGGCTTTTGAAACGAGTACGACTTGACAAAATAACACAAAGCTAATTTAATTCGACCCAGGAAGTGGGGAAATTGGTAGCGTTCCGTGAAAAGCCGAACGTTTGCTTTCTTTACTACGATTGTTGAAACGAATACGATCATAGATTCTGACAAAGCATGCTTTATACCTGCACCATGGCAAAAAATATAATGCCATTTTCATTGAACAAAAATGAGGGGTCGACGAATCAGCTTCCGATTCTGGCTACGAGCGTCGCGCACGCATCGCGCTACGCCGGAGGTGGCGCATGCTGAGTGGCCGATCAGACAATGTCGGTCGATAGAAATGACAATATATTTTATCATGGGGTAGGGGTATTACTGTACCCGATGATATCCCGCTAATGGTGGGATAACGGGTAGGATGAGTGTTGACTCGCTCCCCCACTAACATTTGTTGTTACAGTTGAGTGGTTGTCGCGGCCATGTATAGGCAGCGATATCCAGACAGCTTATGTGACGTTTGGTGGTGAGGACAAGAAATATCGTAAAGCCGAATTCACATGGTGTGATTCTGGCTACAAGTTTCATTTGCGACGTCTTACGTACGGCAAAACAATATGTGCGGACGTAAGCTCCGGTGGTCGACGTCGCAGCTGACAGTCGCAAGCAATAACGCATCATGTAAATCAGGCGCTACTGCGAATATATTAATATTTATAAAAAAAAGAAGAATGCCCGCAGTTACGCCCTCCTCGAAACTCAGACTGGCCACTCTAGGCACTATCATCATCTGAGTGTCTGTGTCGTACTATAATGGCAGCGGAAACTGATGAAAGCTGTTCCCAAGCGGAGGATGCAAGGCTTTCCAGATGTTAGTACGTACGAATTAGAAACAATTAGTTCTGCGTCAGCGTTCATTTTGGACTCGGGTCCAATTAATTTTTTTGGCAAACATCTAAAATCCCTGGATGACCGAAGTTTTATTAGGAGTCTATCGGTCGGCGCGTCGTACGTACGCATTACGTCTTTCGTTGACACATTTGAAACTGAAAGAAATCAGCATTGAAAAATGAGGCGAGAGAGCCCATTCTCGTCCGCCGTTGGCAGGTGAAAGTTACGATGACGGAGAAAATACAAAAAATACAAAACTAAACCATTCGTTAAGCCAGCAGATGGTCCTGAATTTTGAAAATAATTTAATATAAACATTTGGTAAGATGCCGGATTATCCTTTTGATATATCGACACTGCAGTGTGTTTAACGCGGTAGAGGGGCAATTAAGTGAGACAAACATGACTCTCCTAGTCTAGGGTTTGACCGCTTTTGTCGGGGAAATTACTATAGCCTTTTCCTACTTGTGCAAACAGGAACTTTCAGCATCACCAAAAAATTCATCTGTAATGGCTTTCTCAGGACAGAGCCCTTACTAATACCAATTATATGTCAATATCCTTGCTGTTCCTTGGTGTCCTTACGTCAAAACCCGAGAAAGCGAAGTATTATTATATATGGCATCTCACGCTCTAACCTGATGGAGCTGGTCTACTGAAGTCGAGGCTCTTCGTGCGTGCCTCGCACTCATCCTCAACATTTTGGCACATGCACGGCCAGAAATTTGCGACAGGCGCTCCTAGCTCACTCATCTGTCCCCACGTGGCGTATTCACCTTTAACTTTTACGCCGTGTGCAAATTCCAGCCATATCGGAGCGTGTGCCGAGTGCAAAAACAAACCAACAGTAACTCAAAATATAAAAATAAAATAGGATGAGGTAATCATTGTCTTGCGGTTGCCACGTACTGACAACTTTATCATTCTCCCTTAAAAAAAAATTGGGTTGTGTGTGTGTTTATACAGCCTAGAACTTGGTCTGCCTCACAGGGGCGACGAGTCTCCCAGCTGTAGATGAGAAATTTAGCCAGTGCGGTGCAACCGCTAGCCTGGGGACTTTAACGTGCATCACGCAGTAGTGATCACGACCGCACGCCGGTACGATGCTCATCCAGATCAAAACGGGCAGGGGTGGGGCTCGAACCCAGGATCCCTGGGTTCTGCAGCGCGAGCTTTCGCTCCACGTGCTCCGAGCTCGTGTGCGCTAGACCACTCGGCCACCGATCTTTTTTTTTTTTTTTTTTTATTTATTACATGGGATTTGGTCAGAAAACACAAGGCACTTGAAATCACGGTACACGAAGGTTGGCGTTAGGTGTCATGTACAGGCGTCGACATACATTTCGTTCATCTAAAGTCACACCATCGTGGGGGTTTAATTCCCCACATAGGTTCGAGTGCGGTTTCACAACTCGACAAAGTATTCTGTATTGAAGAATACGTCTACAAATCCGGAAGATGAATGCATCGATTTAAAGGGGCGATGCAACGATTTTTGTATTTTACGCAAATACCGCTTAGAACGGATCCCTGATGTTAATGACCTGTGAAATACCTTTCCGTTTTTCACCACACGCAATTGAAGTCGCAGAAAAAAATTAAGAAAAACGAGCTGAGTTCACCCCCTCAATTCGCAGCCAGAACAAGCGGCCACGTGATCGGGAGCCGATTATATGGCGCCAATGTTGATCATAGCCTCGCTCTGGGGTTGACAAGGCACAGGACACGCGCTGAGTTCTAGACATTGTTATTTTTCGGTTGTTGTCGTTATTGCAGCGATTCGACACAGGACACTACCCCAATGCTTCTCGAGCTGTCGATTATCACGAGCCCAAATCGAGTGTCCACGCCATGCTCGGGTCCAATCTACGAGCCGCATTCAAATATCGTCACTGGGCGGTACTGCTACCTTAAAGCTACGTCATCAGGTTTTGCGAAGGAGAGATTGAATGAAAACACTCGGTTTTGTCCTCGAAATTATAGCGCAACAAAGAAGTTTCTTGGCCAGTGGCGTTGCGTACGAGTATCTTTGAGTGCCACTACTGCCAGTAAGCTCGTGTAAAGTGAAAAATATTCCAGTTGAATATCGTTGCACCGCCCCTTTAAAAGAGCATACCAGTCTGGGCGTTCACCGAGATGGTCAAATGCATTTCGTACATGCGATACAGTTTCTATAAAATTCGACTTTGTTGTCCGGGGAACATCAGCGTTTCTGTCAATCATTCTCGTTTTCCAGAGACTATGCAAACCCATCAGTGTAAACATATCATAAGGGAAGCTGTCATTCGGGTTTAAAGGTAGAAAACGGATTGTGGTAGGCACTTATATTTAAATCTTTTTTCACAGTTCTTTGTAACACATCTCAGAAGAGGTAAGCATCAGTGCAGAAAATAAAACAATGTTCTATAGTTTCCGGTTGGTTACAGAGGCGGCAGTTCACTGACCACGGAACGAAAATGCTTTTTTCTTGAAGCCAAGGCCTGACAGGTAGCGTGGAAGTGTGAAGTTTAAAAAAAAAGGTTTTTGCAGAAGGTCACACTCGCATTTTCTTCACACGTTTAAAAACAAACAAAACAACAACAAAACATCTTGTTCCGAACCGTTACCAAGTACACTTCGATACAAAGGTACAGGAAAAATAACGTCTATCAGATCAGCATAAATTGTTTTTCGGGGAATTTTAAATAAATACTCCAGAGAAAACCGGGTTTTTAAAAACTCAATCGCGCTAACTACCTCTCCAAGGAAACCGAAAGGACGCAATGTGCGTACAGGCACAGATGAGACTACCAAGTATGGTAAAGCTTCTGAAAGTTCTGTCGGCACGTAAGTGCGCAGGAAATGATGGGATACAGTTCGGAAGAAAATAAAACGAGCAACCACCTGTTTTAAGAATAGGTGAATCAGCCCAAGACCCCCTGTATCAATGGAGCGAAAAAGGTTGTCTCGTTGCATGGGTTCCCAAGTGGAATCCCAGACAAAAGTCGCGAAAACTCTATGGAATTTTTTTAATTTGGCCTCTCGCACAACAAATCACCTGGAGCACGTACCAGAGTTTCGCTACAAGGAAAATGTTACAGGCTTTTGCGCGTACAAAGATTGACCACCGATTTGATTTCATTATATTGGCTTAGCGTTTGATCTTTGCCGCACGCTCAGACCAGTAATGGCCACTGTTTCGAATGCAGTTCAACGGTACTCCTAAATACTGAGGAGCTACACAGCTCCACGAAATACCAGCATACCTTGAAGGTGTTGTGGCCCACTGGCCGCACGAGAAGCCAACGCATTTTGAGTTATTTACCAACGCTCCCGATGCTTCACAAAATGTCTGGGTTAAGGTAAAGACATTATCGACACTTTTCTTATCAGCACATAAAAACGCGATATCGTCAGCGTAGGCCAACACTTTTACTTCCGCGGAATAAAAGTGATAACCGTCCACTGTAGGGTTGGAAAGTACACTCAAGCAAAGAGGTTCCAAGTAAAGAGCAAACAAAAGAAGGGATAAAGGACACCCTTGTTTAACAGACGATTCTAAATTTATAGGAGTCGAGAGTGAACCATTAACAATGAGACGGGTAGCACAGCTTCGGTAGCATAGTTCGATTCCTTTCAACAACGTTCGTCCCGGGTTTATGTGTCTAAGAATGGCGAAAAGGAAGTCATGAGATACGCGGTCGAAGGCTTTCGCCAAGTCTACTTGGACTATGCCGACCTGGTTGTTATGCCGAGTACAGCTCTCTATGACCGAACGTGCGACGTGTATATTGGTCTGTATGCTTCGCCCCTTAATTCCACATGTCTGATGGTCGCCAACAACACTAGAAGCGACGAACTGAAGCCGTTTTGTCAGAATCTTAGCGAATATCTCATAGTCCACATTGCAGAGAGTAATAGGGCGGTGTCCTTCTACGCGTATAAGTTTATCTGCACCCTTACTTTTGGGGATTAATACTGTATGGCTGCTATAAAAAGATGGTGGTAAGCGTTCACT